CAAAAACCCACAAACCCACAGAATTCTGTGTCACAAGCCTGGAATCAGTCATATCAAGCCCTGATCCCCTTCAAGGAAAGTCAGAAAAGGGTTTCTGAAAAGCAGGTTTTCTTTCAAAGGTTATAGTCCTGTAATCAGTTTACCTTAATCACCACCTGAATGTAGCTTCCCCCACAGTGTGTGTACACAGCAGAGGGTGTACTCTAAAGCCTCAATTTTTAGTTTGGACCTGACCCCATTCTGCAAGTTATTGTACCAACCTGCATGTGAACATGCTGTCTGTCCCTAAAAGATTGTGGGAGGATGAAAACCAAGAAATGACAAAGGGAATAGAGAAGGGTTTTTTGATGACAGGTTAATTGGTCTGCTGAGAAAATGAAAGAGCAAGAGAGTGCCAGGAAGGAGCAGTGAGAAGGAAGATGGCCAGAAACAAATGAAAAGGGTTAGAGTAGGTCAGAGAGAAGTTCACCTAGCATGCTGGGAAAATGTCTAGACCTAAAGATATAAGAAATTTTCTGCAGCCTCCACTTGACACCAACTGAATTTCCCATCTGCTACAGCCAGTGGCTTGTTACTCATACTTGCCATAACTAGAGAAGAAAACTTAGCTGTTCCTGAAACAATTAACTTGGTTGAGAAGTGTTCCTACCCATTACATTTTCTGTTTTCACATCCTCCTTACCCTTTTAGTTTTGATTTTCCTCAACTGCTCTTCTGCTTCTATTAAGAGCAGGCTGCTTTCATGCAGAACTCCAGGTGTGATTAAATTTTTATTTAAAAAATTACTGAGCATCTAAAAATCTGATATTTAACATATTTTTTTTGCTTGTGTTCAAATAACAGGGATTTCAGTCTATTCCAGCATTGAGACCAATATCAAATATGAACAATGGAAAACCAGCAGTAAGTATAAGATCTGTATTACAGCTGCTGAACTGTGCTTTTTAATGTGAGAATTTGCATCTTAAGGGACAGTCATGATATTTGCTCTTCAAACTCAGAGCTTTTACCTCAGAAATTTACAAATACACTTCTTTAACTTGTTCAAACATCTCAGACACAATTTTAAATTGTTCCCTCCAGATCTGTTTTCATCATCCCAGCCCCTTTTCCATCTCAAAGGAGAAAAAACAAATCCTGGCTCTGAATTAGGAGTACCCCTTCATTGAGTGATTGTACCTGCAATACAGAGTAACTCCTAAACTAACGATAGTACAACAATTGAATAATTAAAATATTCATTACAATATTTTCAATCTTAATGGTGCTGCTTAGCTTAGATAGACACTTTAGAACTTCAGCCTTTATTTAAAAGGTTTTAAAATATTTAGACAAAGAAAGCAAGGGAACTGACATATCTAAAAAATGAAACCAGAAAGAAAACAAAAAAGCAAGAATGTGGATTAGTTCTTGCATCTGTGCTGCTTGACTTAAGCATTATACTTCTTGTATTTTTAACTGGTACCTAGTCACTCCTTACTACTTTTTTTCCATGTTTGTAGGATTTGGGATTTTGTTCATGTGAGAACTCCCAAGATTTCGACTGAAAATATTAACTGCTTCTAAAAGATTTTTATTTTTAGGAGTATATAATCCTCATGGTTTCCTTAATGTTGAAAGATAAGCTGATATTTCTGCTAAGGGTCTCATGGCTCTGAGAAATGTAATGTTATAGCAACAAATAACTCTCATACCTGCTATGAAGGGTACGTGTTCTGTCTTGGCGGGAGGAGGGGGCACTGTTTTGTTTCCAACATATTCCTTGTGTCATAAACTTTTTTTTTTAAATGGTGCCATTTTTCTTTTTTCTTCCAGTTGCATCTGGTAGCTTTGAACTTCCCATTACCCGGTGACATGCGAGCAGATTTTCAGTGTTTTCGGCAGGCCCAGCTTGCCGGTTTGACATCTACATATAGAGCCTTCCTCTCATCACACTTGCAAGATCTGGCCACAGTTGTCAGAAAAATAGACAGACACCATTTGCCAATAGTCAATCTCCAGGTAAAAATGGGTACTTAGTGCTTGTTTCTTTAGGATAGGCTGTAGGTCCCCCAAAAATCTTGGAAAAGAGCAGAAGCACTGAGTTTCAGCCCAAACTGCATTTTATAAAGAAACAGCTTTGCTTCATATTTCACAGCCAGGTTCAAGAAACAAAAAAAAAAAGTAGTGATGAAGTAGAAAACCACTGAATTATTATGTTCTTCCTATTAGTGTAATAGTAGGATAAAATGCCTATTTTTCTCATTTCTAAGAAAAATGCAAATTCTGTGCTTAGGAATGATGTTGGATATACCCCAATGAAATGGAGAGGAGAATCTAGAGCATGAGTCATTTTGTGGTCTCACATAAACAGACACACTCTAAAACTGAGGAAAACAAACCATGTCTTTGTAGCATTGGCTGGCTCCCAGGACAAGCGGCCAAAGAAACCTACAGGAATAACACATGATGCTTGGAACATGTTGAACGGATGCTGCTCTGAAGTGCATGCAAACACAGAGCCTTGAGAGAAATTTGTGAAGACAATATTGTTTCAACTTTGACTGGAGAAACTCAAAAGCAGTTTGAGAGGAAGCCAAATGCAAAGGTTTTGCTCTGACTGTTTGCAACACTTTCCACAAAACTGTGACCTTAACAGAAGTCGCAATACAAGTTGTGTCTATATTTTCTCTACAGCTACAGTAGTTATAAGCAATTTTTCAAACAATGCCTTAGGAGGAAAAGGACAGGGGATGATCAAGCTGAAATTTTGGAGTGACAACAGAACAGAGAGACAACTTTGAGGCAAAGGCATGGACCAGACCAGCTGTTTGCATAGAGATGACAGATGAGACAAGTTTGTTCAGGAGCATTATGCAAAAACTGATGTGAAAGATGAAATCACAAGTGTCCTTAAATGCAGACAAAATTTTCAATTTACAGATAAGTCTATAAAGGTAGACTTAGGATTTGATGTAGATTTGGGATTTGTTTTGTTTGTAAAAGTGGCTTTGAAATTTTAACAGGGAGAAACCCTTTTCAGTAGCTGGGAATCTATATTTGATGGAAATGGTGGACAATTCAACATTCATGTCCCAATATACTCATTTGATGGGAGGAATGTCATGACTGATTCATCTTGGTGAGTTGACATTACCATTTATGTTTTATATGTTACATGCAAGGGGGGTTGTTTTTTCTACTTCTACCAGATAGTAATAGAAATAGCAGCAGTATCCTGGAGTACTAGACATGTGATAAAAATTTCTCACTTTCTTTATGCCATTTTTCTTTGCCTTTTCTGATAGTCTAGAAATGGGTTATCAGGTTGTCTTCTCCTTTTTTCCTCTCCTTTCTGTCTTCATCTTTACCTAAGCACTCAGCTTCAAGCACAAGGAATGCAAATCACCACACACTGTGTGCAGTTGAATAAAGCAAAAGAGACTTTTCCAGTAAATAACTTCTTAATGTTACCTTTCAGGCCTCAAAAAATAATATGGCATGGTTCAACTGCAAATGGGATCCGACTGGTTAGCAACTACTGTGAAGCCTGGCACACAGCTGATATGGGAGCTATGGGACAAGCATCACCTCTGAACACAGGGAAACTTCTTGACCAGAAAGTATATAGCTGTAATAATTTGTTTATTGTTCTCTGTATTGAAAACAGTTTTGTGCCTGATCCCCAAGGAAAATAATTCACCTGCTGCACATATGAATATTCCATTTGATGACAGAAAAAGCTGACACTGAAATTTCATTTGTAATGATGTAAATATTTTAATTTTTGTAATTGCACGTTTCAGGAAAAATAATTGACAAAGAAAACATACCTCAAAACAAACCACATTCCAGTTAGGTGGAACATCCAGTGCACACATGACTGGCATAAAGCCCTTCCTTCCACTTGAACCCCATGCGGTTCAAAGCCTGCCAGCAGTTAACTCATGTTCTTCTGCCTGAGCTGGAGGTCACCTAAGGGCACAAGCCAAGTGTGGTCTGTGAGGAAGATCCAGTAGCCTGCCTCGTAAGCAGTGTGGCTCAGCAGGGCTGCTGCTGCTTCACAGCTGAGAAGCTGCATGCTCCGTGCTCTCCTTTTCACTTGCATAGATTTTGGATGCCCAAGGCACCGTTCATATATACTCATATATACAGCGAATACCGGGAGGCCTTAAAGAGCTTGCATTTGCAAAACAAAGCTTTAAGAACAAAGGTACTCTCCTCCTCTGAGTTTTGGTGGAAGCCGAGTACCTGACTCCTCTAAGTTTGTACAGATCTCAGCCTGGTGCTTACACAGAAATATAGCAGCTCCCACACCTTATCTCAGCTTTTCTCTTTGCAGATTCTAGGCATAGGACTTTATGCAGGAGGAGTGAATTTCACATTGACAAAATCTGGTCTTTATTTTGGTGCTATTGTTACCAGGAAACCTGAAAGCAATGTTAATAGAAAACATCCTGTTTAACTGGTAGAACTGAACAAAGCAAATGCAGACAAATGAACCATCTGACCTTTATTTATTTCATTGCATATTAGAGGAAGTCATTTCCTTTTGTGTCAGACTGACGAATGAAATATGTCTGTCATGGTTTCTTTAAAATAGGTTCTACACATTGTTATCACACTAAGTTATATGTAAAGTGATTTTCCTTTTTGTGAATTTACCCTTCTGGCATTCACATAATTAAAGAACTGTTCATATAAAATAACTGCAACAATTATAGGAATGATTGGGAAATTGTAATATTCTTCACTACCAGTAACACCATAACATCTGAAGTCTTTTGCTGATATATTTGTCTACTACATACTTTAAACAACATATTTACTTACGTTTTATCAGGCAGTGACTATGGAGGTCAAGCTCCACATTATCATTTTTTTTAAGATTTAAACGAGAATCCCTATTGGAAATACATGTTCACTTGCTGACAAATAGAGTATTAAATAACCAGACAGCTTTTGTTAACAGACAAAAGCAAATTACACTTACAATACTGAAATGATGTAATTATGTAACTAAATATTTTGAAATCCAGCTTTATTTTTCCAATTGATTATAAAAGCTTATTTCCCAGGGTCAGCTGAATGATATCTTCATTTTTTTCTGAAAAGCAAAAAATGTAAATGACTCCATTATTACAACATGGCAATAAGGCAAAAGCCATTTATATTATGTTTAAAGTGTATGCATAACAATTCACTGCACTCATTTATAGTCGACTTTCCTAAAATACTGAGCCACTTTTGTGCCAAATTCCTCCAGTTCACAGAGCTGGAAGACTTATTTATGTACAGCAGGGTTTCGCTCTGAGTCACAGAAGGATCAAGGGGGGAAAATAAAGTGCTTTTACCTGCTTCAAGCAGGAACCATCTACTTTCAATCCTTTACGGGCCAGTGGGGTCTCTGCTTGCAGCCACTCATCCACATCAGTCCCTGCTCTGCCTCTCCTGAACTCCAGCAGCACTCAGGGAGCTGGCTGTCCCTTTGCCTGGAATTGCAGTGACGAGAGGTGTCAGGGTCATGGAATCACACATAAGAGCTCTGTGAAGGGGGATGAGAGAAGACTAATAAAAACATGCAGGTTTTAGGAGATACTGAACTAGAGTTTAAGTTGGGTCCAGCAAAATGCATCCAGAGATCTTTGTGCCAGTCCTTTCACAGAGCTAACCCATCTCTGTATCCTGAACAGAGCATAGCAGGGAACTGAAATGGCTAAGCACCATCAATAAGCTGCTAAAAAACTCTCCATGTTTGCTTCCCACCTCTAACATTAATCTGCAGGCTGCAGCAATTTATTGTACACCCTTTAACTGAATAGAGAGCACGAGCTGTGCGCCACCTGGGCTGCTGTGGTGCTGAGTTCGCAGGCTTGCTCACACACCAAGGGAGACAGCTTTACCAGAGAATGGCATGAGACCTGTTAGAAAGGTGATGTTTCCCTTGGGGAAAACAACAACAACAACAACAACAACAACAACAACAACAACAACAACAACAAGAACAACATATGCTTTTTTCCAAAGCCACTGATGTTCTTTAGATTCCCTAATATAATTGAAAAGAAAAAATAATATTCATCAAGGATATGACAGAGAAAACAAATTAACCCAGTACTTAAGAATAAATTAGCTTTTTATATCAAAGGAGAGTATTTTTTTCAGCACTGTTACAACACGAAGTTTCAGCTGCATTTGAGGAAGAGCCTCTGCTAATTCAGGTAAGAAACTATGTTATAAGGCAAAGCAATCACCAAGAGAACATTAGAGCAAGATGGAGAACAGTAGCTGCACAAGAAATCAATGTAGCAGTCTGAATTCTACTGAATTGTGAACACCCCAAAATCCTGATCTGGACCACTGGTTTTGTTAGTGGTAGGTAATCAGCAGGCAGGCCTTTTGTCCTTCTCAGTTCAGGGATCTTTTCTCTGGGCAATGACAAACCACATCATGTTACCATCTAGCATCAGTAGCGTGCTGCTCTGCCCAGAAGAACTGCAGTGAGAAGAGCAGTTTCTCCTCCCTTTCCTGCTATAATCAAGCCAAACCTGTGAGTTTTTGCAGCGCAGCATATACATCTCAAAGGACTGACAATTAACAAAACTCATTTTGGTGTAACCAAAGACTGCCAGCCTTGCTTCTGAGCTGTGAAGTGAAAGAAGAAAGAATGACTTGCAGTATGTCCTGCCTGGAAGATTCCACAGTTCCTCTTCTTTGGCACTGAGATTTAGATATTACTTCTGCTTTATTACTTGCAAGTCTTGTTTTCACTCCAATACTGTCCTGGAGAAGAGTGCCTGTCTTCTAGCTTTTTAAAAAATTAGATGCTAGAATTGCAATTTCATTTTGGCGTTCAAGTACTGGGATTAATGCCACGCATGCATCTTAAAAAACCATCTGATTGGGGTTTGGCTTTTATTTGCTGGTCTGATACATAGTTTGAGCCTGCAGTCTAACAGTTCCCCCCTGCTGTCTCTCCTTTATGCTTCAACAGTAGCTGCCCAGAGACAGAAATATTTCTAGATGAACATCTACTTAACTACTTTGATACTTTAACCTGAACCTGGCCTCCCTCTTTTAATCAGTCAGAGGGCGGCTATTTGCTGCATCTTAAAAGGCCTATTCTGCACCTTGGTGCAATTCCCACTGTTACCAGTTGATCTAAAATATTTCCTACCATTTTCCCTTCTCCTGTATCCACATGAAAAAAATAAAATGAAACACCATAAGGCCACCCTGTTCTACTCCTAAAGTTCCTAATTAATGGCTCTATGCACACACAGCCTAACCTGGAGATGCACCCAGAGTGGATGTCTCAGCTCCAGAAATACTAGATTTCACATAGGAGAGAGGGAACACAAAGTTGAAACATCACTTCATCCTGTGTGGGCTAGAGAGAGAGTAGTGGAATTACAGACAGCACAGCCTGTGGGAATTTCGACACTGTGCCAGTTTGCCTGGGGTAGAGTTCGTTTTCTTCACAGTAGCTGGTATGGGGCTGTGTTTTTGCTGTGTGCTGACAACGGTGTTGTTAACACAGAGATGTTTTTGTTCTTGCTGATCAGGGCTTACATAGAGCCAAGGCCTTTTCTGCCTCTCACCAGCGAGGCAGCGGGGAGTGCACAAGAAGTTGAGAGTGGACGCAGCTGGGACAGCTCACCACAGGGATATCCCATATCATATAGCATTGTGCTCAGCATATAAAATGGGAGGAAGAAATAGGAAAGGGGAATAATGCCAGTGATGGCATTTTTAACCCCAGTCACCATTCCATTCCAGCCCTGATCTCCTGGGTATGGCTTAACAGAGCCCAAAAAAATGGGAGAAGCAGTGAATTAATTCCTTGTTTTGCTTTGCTTTTGTGTGTGTTTTTTGTTTTACCTATCAAACCCAACCCATGAATTTTCTCACCTTTACTCTTCCAGTTCTCTCCCCCATGCCACCCTGAGGGAAGTAAGCAAGCAGCTGTGTGGGTCTGAGTTGTCAGTCTGGATTAAGCCACAGTATACTATGAAATAATTTCAGCATCACACCCTGGTGTTGGTCAGAAGTAACTTACAACCTTCCCTCAGCCTGTCTCAGGGATACTAGTAATGCTACAACAGAAAAGGGGGAGACAATATTGTTGGACCTTATAAGAAGTACCTAAGATCACATTCAAATTCAAGCCAGAACGATGATGACATTGCCTCTGCAGGAAAGATACATTTTGAATTGTGCATTTTGAGTGTGTTCACATGAATAGCAATATAATAACTGTGTTTTCCACAGGTCAGTACCAATACCACCTCACAGGTGTTTTGTTTGACCTTTCTTGGTTCCAGACATACTCATTGAGGTCCTAGCCATAATGATGGCTTGTAATTGAAAAACATTATCTCCCCACTGAGTTAAATGGATTGGTTTTAACACCCAAAACAATTATTTGCCAGTATTTAGCTTTGCACTACAGTTAAATATTTGCACATTTCAAGCCTCAAGGTTTCAACTGAGGCTAGTCTCATCCCCAAGGCTACCACTGCACTAGAAAATTATCATAGTCAAGGTAGAGCTATTAGCAGAAATACCACATCTGACTGATGGCTGAACTGTTCCCTGACACAGATCTGGTCAGTGCCATTTGTAACCCTTCCAACCACTTCTTTAGGGGATGATTTGCAGGGACAGCATGTGCCAAGAACTACTCTTGTGGATAGTTTGAAAGAGCCACCCTATTTTGGAACAGAAAGATTTAATTGTACTCACAGGTGCTTAAGCACTGTGCCTAGTCTCAGGCCTAACTGGAGCCCTCAACCCACTGAAAGCCTGTAAAGGGAGAGCAGGACAGGCATGTCTGATGCCCACAGAAAACACATCAATGGTTCTTTATGTCTTTTTACCAAACTTAATTATATACATTTCTCTTGCAAACATTCTCCATTCATGTAAACCCCAAGTCCAGACTGTGTTCATTCAGGGCACCCCCTAAAGCCATCATTGTCCTACACAAACGCCCTCAAGCTCTATTTAGATATATTGTGCCATTCCATTTTCCTCACCTCTTTCAACACTGATGAGCACATTGGTTAGAGCGTGGATTGACTGTTCACAGAGCCGGGATGTTTCAAACACCTGAGAATTAAAGGCTACTTGTACAGCCATCCTGTACAACTGATAGCTACCACCATGATGCTTTCATTGGCAAACAGGACAACACAAGACATTTGTTTTCCTGCTTTACCCCAGCTGGTGGATCAGCCTCCATGTTTGTGTGTGCAGCCTGCTTGTTAGGAGGACTGAACAGCTTCTGATTCCAGCATCCTCTCAGTGACTTTTCAGAGTCTAGAGGTGTGCTTAGGTTCACCTGAGACACCAAACATGAATTCCTAGAATCATCCCACCACCCTTTCAGCCAGCCTACGAGAAGCCTCCTTGATACTTTGAAATGTGAGACTGCATCCCTTGATCCTACACTATATTAGGGTAGCGGTGTGTTTGAACTCCTGTGCTAAATTCTTATTGTGATGTTGACCAAAACCAAGCCCAAAGTCAAATTACATTTCCCTTTTTCAGCTGAGTGAATTGGGAATTGTTCATCAGCTTCATCAAAGCAATTTCCAGTTTGTTGATCCCATTATTTTGAAGACCATGTTTCCTTCCAAGAAGGTATAACCCAGTGGGCTCTGAATCTTCACAAGTCCCTGGGTTTGGGAAGTCCCTAGGTGTCCCTAGGTGTCCTGGGTACATCTGTGAAGAAGTTATTTCAGGAGTATTCACTACTGTATTTCTTTGCCATTGGTTCTACCTACAGAGTAAGAAACTGACTTGCTCTCAGCAGCTTTTTCCCACCCTACTACTTGGCAAAGTTTCTCTATCATTATAGCAAAGCTGTTCTTAAACCACAAATTTATCTTGGGCATTTTCTGTTCTTGATCTCAAACATCCAGGATTTGGAAGTAGTCTATATCAGGAAGACACATGAATTTTGACATCATACACTCACAAGCCAAGGTCTTTTAAACAGATCCTGAGACTGTTTGCCTCTTTTGCTGAGATATTCAGAGCCAAAACCAATGTACAGAAGCTAGCTGGCTCAAGAGTTTGGAGGAGCATGCTAAAATTTGCTATGGCAGAGATGATCTGAGTAATTAAAGCATATACCACTGACACAGTTTAGACTTTGAGGGGTGTTATTTAAAAAGGTTTTCATCATGTAGAACTCCCATCTCGATCTCCATTTTCATCCAAATAAAGCTTACAGAAATTCAAAAGAGCAGACGTAGAACTGCCATTTTTGCAAAGACTTAAAATCCAGACAAAACTGATGCTATGTATTAATCCACCTGAATCAGAAATGGACATAGAGACAGCTATTCAAAAGTTTAAAAAAAAACACAACTTATTAAAAGCCAGAATTCATCAAGACTCACAGTTAAATGTTTATTCACTATCTCTCTCCTCACTTTACTGTAGCTTGATATGTCTTAGAACAGTAGAATAATTTGGATTGGAA